AAGAAAATGCCACCGATAAGCTCCGACTTGCCAGACTACAGTTTTGCTCCTCAAGAGTACATCACGCAAGTGGGACAGTACTTGATGACTCTGCCCCAGCACTTGGAGCCATTTCTCTTGAGGGACAATCCGAGCTTGACCAAAGCTCTGAAAGCTGCTGACCCGCAGTACAGCCAGGAATCGTGCGAGTCTGGATTCACGAACGTATTGTTGGAAATCGTGGCAAAGGAGACTTGTCAGATGTTTCAGGATCAGACATGGAGCATATACGAACTGAACACGGCCGCTTGCAAGCAGCTCGCGACTGATATCGGTAGGTGGTCACGTACAGTCGGGGAGTTCGACAACGAGTTGAAAATAATTTACAATACTTTCAGACTATCTTGGCAACATATTCGAAGAACTTGGGCTGTCGTTGTCCGAAAATATGCAGCAAATGTCGCAGTTGCTGTGGTTGTCACCAGACGATTACCAAGCTGGCAGTTCGGGTTGCAATCCACGTGTCGTCGCTGCTGTCAGACAGATGAGGAACATCACGTCATCCGGATAAGCAACTAATGCTCGAGCAAAGAGTTTGTAAAATAATTGATATTGTAAATAAGTATAAAATAAAACGCTTTTTTTTCATATTAAAATTCGCCAAAATTGGTTATTTTTTTATACTCAATGATTATAATAATGAACACTTTTAGAAGATATGATATTTGTACCAGTGAATCGTAATGAAGAATAAAAAAAATCTTCAAGAACAGAAAATTGTTAGCTAACGTATAGGACGTTCGTAAATTTTACTTAAAAAAAGTTCAAGTCCTAAATTTACCATGTCCTGTACTTGACTTCTCAAAAGACTGTTCCATATCGCCTGCAACTCAAAGCTCTCTAATAATTTAAATTTAATCTTAGTTTTCAAACGGCTCGTACTTCGCGCCATTTTCAGTAATTTCGATAGTCTCGAGTACACTTTCTATTCTCGCTACAACAAATGAGATGCGAGAAACAAACCAAAGTATTTTGAAAAGCGTTTGGTGCCTGGGAATAATAAAAATGGCACTAAAACATGAAAGAAAAACTAACAGAGCAAGACTACAAAAGATAAGTACAGGAGGCCGAGTGTTTCAACCTAGTGACTAACAAATATCTTAGGGACATTATTTTTTCTCACTGTGGCACTATCGGTAGGCGCCTTCCAGAGTAGCTGTAAAATAAATCGCATGTCTTTATTAATGTTTATCATGTTGTTGATATAAAGAAATGGCCACATCCTAATCTATATAAAGTTGTGTCATGACACAAAAGTTTACAATGACAAAAAGTAAATGATCGAGGTATATTTAGATGCATCACTAGATGTAACATTGCGCGTACGTTTCTCTGCTTGCAGCTCGTTCAGTTACTAGATGAGCTTTCATTTTTTTGGGTCAAATACCTTTACGTGGAGTTTAACAAAATTGTAATATGGTACCAAAGCCAACCATACGTTTGCCGCCAAGCCAAGTACGGTGCGCATGGTAGCTTTCGTCTCGGTACAGTTGGCAGTCTTGGCACACATTGGTGGGGTTTGTTCCGTAATGGTGTGAAATCCGAAGCCTTTAGTCAATAATATATGGCACGTATACATTTTACCATTTGTGCAGACGACAAAATTTTCCCTCAACTTTTACCAACAGCCACTGCGCAACGCACCTGTCGAAACTTCCAGTCTTGTGACTCTTGTGCGTGATTTCTTGCGCGCGTGCCCGATATATCAGTCCTACTCGGGACTTTTTAAGTATACCAGGGATCGTGCCGCATCTGGATTTTTATGTACATAAAAAATAGACCAAGTACTTTCTAGTCGCGAGTACTTGCGGGAAGCGTGTTTGGTTGCTTGTTCTTTGTACAACCGCGTGAATGTATAAATGTAACATTGTACGTGTGAAAAGGTGCAACTGCTGTTGCGAGTGCGCTTCACTTTTACATCGTGTTTGAGAACACGTGTGTCCATCATAAGATAAAAAAAAAGAAAAAAAAATCGAGGTTGTGTGTCCATCTGTTCGTTGTTGGTTCGTTGTCATCTTTTCAGCGTAAAACTGCACTTTCGCTGTCATCGCTCTGTGTACAAACCGTGTTAAAACAATAACGTGTGTAAATCCTTAGGTAATACCTACCTACTACTGCGAGTTGTATACCATATAAGTAGTAGTGTGTCTATTCTATCGGCTCGTGCAAGTGGGATAAGTACCATTTTTTTAAAGAACAAGAGAGTAGGAGGCGGCAAACCGCAAGTGTACCAAAGTGGTACAGCAGGTGTTTTCTTATTACCACCAAGACTACACCAACACCACCTCTCATCCATATTGAGGATCATTACAGCTTACAGCGTAAGTGTATACATATATAAACATATATATATATACACACACTTGGTGTATGCACAAATTAGTCGATACTTTTGGGTGTACCCATTAAAGTACTTTGCGCGCGTTTCTCAATAGGTTAAGCATATATTTATTTCTTCTCCCTCTCGGTTAAGTGTTACGTGAATAGTAGATTAGGCATATATCTACAGATACGGACCGGATGATGCGGTCGCTCGGTCAAATAAATAGATAACACACCTATACTTGGTGTAGTACCTCGGACTGTCGTATACCTTGTATATAAGTATACACGGAGGGAGAGAGAGAGAGAGAGTGCCGGAGCATAGTTTTATTTATACACGGAACATTCCAAGCTAAATATGTGGTCTTCGTCGCTGTCGTCGCAGCCAACTCTAGACACTATAATATATACGCTCGAATTTCACCCGGACGCGGGTGAACTATCTTTGCCCCTCCCGACTCTTGCCTAAGCTTTATGGGCTCTCTTTTTTTTCCTCGAGAGATAGAGGGATCCTCAGCACCCTCGACTGCCTGTCTCCGCTTTCGCATCGATTATGCCCAGGCCGTAGGTCATGAGATCCCAAGTTTCCAAGATAATTTTCAGGAGCTCGAAAACTACCTTGGTTTATTTCCAAAAATGTCACATTTTTTTTTTTTATCAACATCTCAGAGACGAAAACTCGTAAAAAACAATTTTATACTGAAAGGTTTTTGTTCCTTTATGCAGTAAAGCCGTCCTAATTATGCCAAAACTGAAGAAAAAAAAATGTATGTATCTTCATTTCAATGCACTGGAAAGTAACGATGTTATTTGGTTTAATCAATTCATGTGCATACATGACATGTCTACTGTTTTTTCTACCTGTGCATCAGCTGTGGAACTTCTTATATATAGGGTTCACAAGAGCAAGACAAATCAATCGGAGGGAAAATTTTACGGTATTAAAAAATATTGAAAAATAAGTCTTGTTCTGTTTTGTATTGCCTTGGTTTTTGGTTACAAAAATTAATAAGGTTTGTAGAGTTGTTCCCTTCACCAAGTACAAAAGAAAATATTTCATACTGTACTTATTTTATTTTAAAGATAAAAAAAATGGCAATAATTACCAGTAGGCTTTGAGTCGCAAGAGATAAGTTATTTATTTTAAAAAAATCACTTCTCGATCCCACGGTGAAGACAGTCCAGAAACTATGTTCGGACCTCCATCGATCCACTTTTATAATGTTTTAATAACAACTATTATTTAAGTCTTAAGATTGTATTTTAACGTGTGTTTTTTGACAGTCTTAAATTTTACTAAAATCGTTTTCGCTCTCTTATTTGAAAATAATTTGTAAATTGTTTTATTTCGATATCTTACGTTACATTATTATTATTATTTATTGAAGCATGACACAATGGCCAAGATAAAATAAATTTACAATGAAATATATTCAGTCACGTGACGATTTTTAATAAATATCAAACTCTCGATGCATGTGTTACTTTTCATACTCCGAATCCACAGACGACTCTAGCATCCACGCTGATGAAGCTACAGCTGTACATCCAACAAATCAACGCCTCGCTCGAGGAGACTAATCAAGATGTTTTGGTGAACATGCCAAAAATCCTCCGTGACACGCAGCTGTTGCAGCAGGAAGCTGTTTTTCTCAAGGAAAAAATGCAAACTGTCAAAGCTGAATTGGAAGATGTAATACATCTGTTTTTTATTCTTTGTATCGTAGTTTAAACTTTTTTTAATAGTAAAAAAACATATAAAACACCTGATTTTTAAATTAACATAATAAAAATGGGGTGATTGAGAAAATTCTGCAGCAAGCATGAATTAACGTTCGTCTATTGCGTGAAAATCAGTTCAATTAAAAAATCAGTGTATAAAATACGTATTTTATATAAAAAAACAGGTAGAAAAAGGCGCGTTCTCGTCGATCCACAAGCTCGAGGAGCTAGACAGAATGAAGGAAGAACTGATAAGCCGTGATGCTAGTCTGAAGGAGGCAGACAATTGGGTGGCTTTGGCCAATGACGTGGAGGACGTATTCGAGTCTGGCGACGTTGTCAATGTAGCGGTAAAACTCTTTGAGATGCAAAAGTCACTCACAAAGCTAGCCAACGCTCCTGACCACGAGGATAAAAAACTGCAGCTCGAGGGACTCAAAAATCGACTCGAGGCCGCTGCTAGTCCGAAACTCGTGCAGGCTTTCACTGTCGGCAGCTTAGGTATGCGTCGACTTTCAAAATTGTCATGAATATTTTTATTTTAATTTATTGTACTATTTCGAGGTATCTTTGAGGTATTGTGAAAATAATATTTTCAAATTTTTTCCCATACTTATCTATAAATCAATGAAATTTGTTTGTTAAGCCAGCGATAATAAAAAAACAAAAACAAAACCAAAAATAAATAAATAAAAAATACAATGAAAATGTCGCTAGTATTAATCGTAAGAATAAAATAATTCAGGAGCTCCTTTATTCGGCTTCAGATCAGTCCAAAATTTACGTGGATATTTTCACGAAAATCGACCGCCTACCTCAGCTGCTCAAATACTTTCACAACTGCCTGAAAATTACTTTGACCCAAGAATGGAGGAAAACCATCGAATTCGCCCAGGACGAGAATATTACCTACTGGCTGAAAATGTACTTGGACAAACTCCTATCTTCATGGCACGATCAGGTACTTCTGTCCAACTGAAAAAAAAAAAAAAAAAAAAAACTTGGGGAAAAAAGCAGAAAATAATCCCCCTTCATCATAGGTGAAATGGTGCAGCCAGGTGTTCCCAGCCAATACAGTCCTGGTTACTTTGGTCGAGCTCTACGCTGATCTGCTGCTGAGTCTCGAACCCAGTCTACCCCACTGCGTCGAGTCGGCCCTCAAGCAGCAATCTAACGCCATAAAGCTGTCCATCTTGCTGGAGCTGAAGCAAACGAGCCGGCAATTCGCCGCAAACTTGCAGAGCGCAATGGACGCTCGCGCCGAGAGAATAACGAACGACGACAGCGACAAGCTCTCCGCGCTGGCCCGCGCGATTTACGCGGCTTACGTGCCGTACGTCGCCAAGTACGGGATCTACGAGGCCGCACACCTCAACCAGCAGCTTAACTCGCTCGGTTTCAATCACGAGGACCTCAGCGATATAATCAGCACGCTCTCGCTCAGTGTCCCCAAGGCCATGGGATACGCCGACGAGGCTAACGAGCGCTGCAAGCTCTTTACAGAGGGCTGCGGTTATCCTGGTCTCGTTAAGGCTCTCAATGTATGTAATTCCCCCCCCCCCCCTTTACTTTTTTCTTGGTTTTCGCTGTCGATCGAAATTTTCGTAGGGAATTTTTTTTTTTTCTGAAGGGCCATACCTAATTGACGTTCTTTCTTTTTTTTTGTTTTGTTTTTTGGTGCTACTTTTTTGCACTTTTCACGACTTAACGTGACTGGTCTGATACGCAGTTTTTAATTTTGTTTTTTAAATAACAAAAATGTATGATTCTCTCTGTAAAAATATAATCAAACAACATGTTTATTCATCATTTCAGACTTTTTTTAACAATTATCAAGAAAAATTCAAAATAGGAATGAAGCAATTGAACAAGCGTAAGGTCAAGCACGAGGATTGGAATCTGTTTCAGATGTGCCTGACGCTCATGCAAACGACAGGTATGTGCATTGATTAGTAATTTTTTTTTTTTTTTTTTTTATGTATGAGTAGTTTAATGAGACTAGAAAAATAAAAATTTCATTTTCATCCCACAGGGGAGTTTTTAGGTCATGTGGAACAATTGGAAAAAACTTTGTTAAATGACATTTCAGACACCTACGCGAAGCTGCAAGATCCCCAAGCCAGCGTTTTTAATCGATACGTAAACCTACTTTTATCCGAATCAGCTCAAACGGAATTTCACGATTTCGTTGCGTCGGTGAAAAAAGGTGAACATTTAATCATCCAATCAACTGTGAAACTCATGATTTATAAAACACATCTATTTCTTGATTTGTAGACGAAAAAACTCTTCTCGATCCCACGGTGAAGACAGTCCAGAAACTATGTTCGGACCTCCATCGATCCACTTACGAGGTAATCTTTGCTCCTATCTTCACCCAATTGCTACAAATCAGAAAAGCACCAGCCTGGTCCTCATCGGAAGCCAAGAAAATGCCACCGATAAGCTCCGACTTGCCAGACTACAGTTTTGCTCCTCAAGAGTACATCACGCAAGTGGGACAGTACTTGATGACTCTGCCCCAGCACTTGGAGCCATTTCTCTTGAGGGACAATCCGAGCTTGACCAAAGCTCTGAAAGCTGCTGACCCGCAGTACAGCCAGGAATCGTGCGAGTCTGGATTCACGAACGTATTGTTGGAAATCGTGGCAAAGGAGACTTGTCAGATGTTTCAGGATCAGACATGGAGCATATACGAACTGAACACGGCCGCTTGCAAGCAGCTCGCGACTGATATCGGTAGGTGGTCACGTACAGTCGGGGAGTTCGACAACGAGTTGAAAATAATTTACAATACTTTCAGACTATCTTGGCAACATATTCGAAGAACTTGGGCTGTCGTTGTCCGAAAATATGCAGCAAATGTCGCAGTTGCTGTGGTTGTCACCAGACGATTACCAAGCTGGCAGTTCGGGTTGCAATCCACGTGTCGTCGCTGCTGTCAGACAGATGAGGAACATCACGTCATCCGGATAAGCAACTAATGCTCGAGCAAAGAGTTTGTAAAATAATTGATATTGTAAATAAGTATAAAATAAAACGCTTTTTTTTCATATTAAAATTCGCCAAAATTGGTTATTTTTTTATACTCAATGATTATAATAATGAACACTTTTAGAAGATATGATATTTGTACCAGTGAATCGTAATGAAGAATAAAAAAAATCTTCAAGAACAGAAAATTGTTAGCTAACGTATAGGACGTTCGTAAATTTTACTTAAAAAAAGTTCAAGTCCTAAATTTACCATGTCCTGTACTTGACTTCTCAAAAGACTGTTCCATATCGCCTGCAACTCAAAGCTCTCTAATAATTTAAATTTAATCTTAGTTTTCAAACGGCTCGTACTTCGCGCCATTTTCAGTAATTTCGATAGTCTCGAGTACACTTTCTATTCTCGCTACAACAAATGAGATGCGAGAAACAAACCAAAGTATTTTGAAAAGCGTTTGGTGCCTGGGAATAATAAAAATGGCACTAAAACATGAAAGAAAAACTAACAGAGCAAGACTACAAAAGATAAGTACAGGAGGCCGAGTGTTTCAACCTAGTGACTAACAAATATCTTAGGGACATTATTTTTTCTCACTGTGGCACTATCGGTAGGCGCCTTCCAGAGTAGCTGTAAAATAAATCGCATGTCTTTATTAATGTTTATCATGTTGTTGATATAAAGAAATGGCCACATCCTAATCTATATAAAGTTGTGTCATGACACAAAAGTTTACAATGACAAAAAGTAAATGATCGAGGTATATTTAGATGCATCACTAGATGTAACATTGCGCGTACGTTTCTCTGCTTGCAGCTCGTTCAGTTACTAGATGAGCTTTCATTTTTTTGGGTCAAATACCTTTACGTGGAGTTTAACAAAATTGTAATATGGTACCAAAGCCAACCATACGTTTGCCGCCAAGCCAAGTACGGTGCGCATGGTAGCTTTCGTCTCGGTACAGTTGGCAGTCTTGGCACACATTGGTGGGGTTTGTTCCGTAATGGTGTGAAATCCGAAGCCTTTAGTCAATAATATATGGCACGTATACATTTTACCATTTGTGCAGACGACAAAATTTTCCCTCAACTTTTACCAACAGCCACTGCGCAACGCACCTGTCGAAACTTCCAGTCTTGTGACTCTTGTGCGTGATTTCTTGCGCGCGTGCCCGATATATCAGTCCTACTCGGGACTTTTTAAGTATACCAGGGATCGTGCCGCATCTGGATTTTTATGTACATAAAAAATAGACCAAGTACTTTCTAGTCGCGAGTACTTGCGGGAAGCGTGTTTGGTTGCTTGTTCTTTGTACAACCGCGTGAATGTATAAATGTAACATTGTACGTGTGAAAAGGTGCAACTGCTGTTGCGAGTGCGCTTCACTTTTACATCGTGTTTGAGAACACGTGTGTCCATCATAAGATAAAAAAAAAGAAAAAAAAATCGAGGTTGTGTGTCCATCTGTTCGTTGTTGGTTCGTTGTCATCTTTTCAGCGTAAAACTGCACTTTCGCTGTCATCGCTCTGTGTACAAACCGTGTTAAAACAATAACGTGTGTAAATCCTTAGGTAATACCTACCTACTACTGCGAGTTGTATACCATATAAGTAGTAGTGTGTCTATTCTATCGGCTCGTGCAAGTGGGATAAGTACCATTTTTTTAAAGAACAAGAGAGTAGGAGGCGGCAAACCGCAAGTGTACCAAAGTGGTACAGCAGGTGTTTTCTTATTACCACCAAGACTACACCAACACCACCTCTCATCCATATTGAGGATCATTACAGCTTACAGCGTAAGTGTATACATATATAAACATATATATATATACACACACTTGGTGTATGCACAAATTAGTCGATACTTTTGGGTGTACCCATTAAAGTACTTTGCGCGCGTTTCTCAATAGGTTAAGCATATATTTATTTCTTCTCCCTCTCGGTTAAGTGTTACGTGAATAGTAGATTAGGCATATATCTACAGATACGGACCGGATGATGCGGTCGCTCGGTCAAATAAATAGATAACACACCTATACTTGGTGTAGTACCTCGGACTGTCGTATACCTTGTATATAAGTATACACGGAGGGAGAGAGAGAGAGAGAGTGCCGGAGCATAGTTTTATTTATACACGGAACATTCCAAGCTAAATATGTGGTCTTCGTCGCTGTCGTCGCAGCCAACTCTAGACACTATAATATATACGCTCGAATTTCACCCGGACGCGGGTGAACTATCTTTGCCCCTCCCGACTCTTGCCTAAGCTTTATGGGCTCTCTTTTTTTTCCTCGAGAGATAGAGGGATCCTCAGCACCCTCGACTGCCTGTCTCCGCTTTCGCATCGATTATGCCCAGGCCGTAGGTCATGAGATCCCAAGTTTCCAAGATAATTTTCAGGAGCTCGAAAACTACCTTGGTTTATTTCCAAAAATGTCACATTTTTTTTTTTTATCAACATCTCAGAGACGAAAACTCGTAAAAAACAATTTTATACTGAAAGGTTTTTGTTCCTTTATGCAGTAAAGCCGTCCTAATTATGCCAAAACTGAAGAAAAAAAAATGTATGTATCTTCATTTCAATGCACTGGAAAGTAACGATGTTATTTGGTTTAATCAATTCATGTGCATACATGACATGTCTACTGTTTTTTCTACCTGTGCATCAGCTGTGGAACTTCTTATATATAGGGTTCACAAGAGCAAGACAAATCAATCGGAGGGAAAATTTTACGGTATTAAAAAATATTGAAAAATAAGTCTTGTTCTGTTTTGTATTGCCTTGGTTTTTGGTTACAAAAATTAATAAGGTTTGTAGAGTTGTTCCCTTCACCAAGTACAAAAGAAAATATTTCATACTGTACTTATTTTATTTTAAAGATAAAAAAAATGGCAATAATTACCAGTAGGCTTTGAGTCGCAAGAGATAAGTTATTTATTTTAAAAAAATCAAGAACAAAAAGTTTTGCAAATTTATTTTAAAACATATGTTGCTTTAGTTAAAAAAAATGATTAGTGTGTAAATAAAAAAAAAAAAAGTATTAAAATAGAACGAAGATCTAAATTTTAAAACAAGAATGTAATTATTATCAATCTTTAAAAAGTATAAGATATTGATATTTTGAATTGTTAGAAAAATTATCGAGTACATCTCAATTTGTCAAAAACGGTTTATGATTTATTAGATATATACTCTTTTCGTTAATCCTCGAGGAATGTATATATCTCTAACTACACTCAATTCTACAAGCACACGAACATTGTTGAAAAGCTAAATTCTGAAAGCTTTGATTTATGTAAGTTCATTGTCAAAGAAATTAGTAGTGTTCATATCTAAATTATGTCAGAAAATTCAATTTTTTTCTGTGAACAATATAATTTTACCAATGATTTGCAGTTAATTGTTGTTTGTAAAATTATCACGCAACAATAAAAATTTAGTTGGTTCGTAAAATTATTATTTTTTTTTATATACAAATTAGTTTTAAGTCCTTAGGTACAGAAAAATCTAGAATCATTGTCGATTTAATATTTTTCTCGATATTTTCGAAAACGTTGCATTGTCTTGAAAATAACACCTCAACCACGTGCGAGACGACCTATAGCTTCTTTTTTATTTTCCTCCCTTTCGTTGGGACCTGTCATGCTTGTGATATTTTACGTATTTTCAAACTCGATTACCCCTTAGTCGTTCAAAGGGTTGTCTACACCAATTGGTTATAATTATCCGTTAAATTTTTAAACCAAAACCCGTGTCTCGTAAATTTCCCTTCCATCAACACACGAAAGCGATGAAATTCGATACTCGTACCTATTATCAAGATGAAATATTTCAGCACGTTTCACATTTCACGTATGTGTATACACATTATCTCACGGGAGCAACGTACGATTTGAAATTTAAGCTTTCCAACATCTACATTCGCAAGAAATATGCTTGACAAATTAAGAATCTCTCTGCATCCTACGTGACATATAAAACAAAAAGCTTTCGATGCTCAATAGCACACGACACAATACGAATGGAGTTCAATTCGGGCACGTAGGTATATTGATCGTGCATACATATACTCGTGTATATATTATATATAAGCGAAAACTGTCGAAAATGGAGCATCAACCGTTCATGATGATGCAGCAGCTTCCTTTCTCCGCGTTGAGTTCATTCCTCTTTTCCTGAGGAGTCAACGATAGGCCGAGTCTTGAGATTCAAAGTACCTTTCAACTGTAGAATCGATCAACCATTCTTTTTACGCGGAGGTTTCACATTTTGGTTGGTTGCAATGTAAAAAGGAAATGCCGTTTACCAATTGTAGTTGAAATAACGACGGTGGGATGATTTATCGGTCGGGAATTTTTAAAGTGTCGCCCAGACAGAGATACCAAGTGAATGATTCAAACGCGTTTTTTACTTGTATGTTTTGTATCAGTTGTGAATGTCAATATGGGGACAAATGACTTTTACTTGAAGTGGTGAGGGTAGACTCTGTAGAAACAGCTCAGTTTTTCTTTCGATATCTCAGGTTCATGTTATACATGAAAAATTATATTGTTGGGTTATTGTATTATTTGAAACACAAATCGATTTTTCATTTCGCGCGGTTTGAGTTTTACCAGTGTTACATAGTATGTGTGTACTGTTATAGGCATGGAATATCTGTTGGAACTGAATAAATCAATAAAATAGCCAACAAATGAAAAATATCGACTCTTGAGTGAGAGAATGTGCTGTGGGTATTTTCACGAGGAGAAGGGTGCTGTGTGTAATCTCGCACGGAAAAGGGTGAAAATTCCAGGTTTTAAGTGAAAAAAGGTTTTATTTAAATTGATTCGTTAGAA